TTTTTTTTTTTTTCTTTTTTTCCCTTCAACTCGAGCTATCGATATTCACGTTACGCGGTTCGTGAAAACAATATTTCATAGAGCAAGTAAACGTCCCCCCCCCCCCTGTTTAACGAATTCGAAAGGAGAGGTGATTTTAATCGGATGACTCTCCCCCTCCGCCTGCCTGATTTCTCTCCCAATTTCTCTCCCTCGTCCTTGGAAGACAGGGGCGCGTTCTCGAATCGTAGGATCGTCGATTATCCTAAAGGAAGGAGGGAGGGGTACGTTCTCGAATCGAGGAATTATTCGTGAAACTCGTGGAAGAGGGATCGAGGGATCGATGATCGAGCGAGGCGCCGCGCGAAATTGGATCGAATTAGGCCCGGTTGGAACAAAAAAATTGAAGGAAGGGGGTAGGGAGGGCACTCAACGACGAGAGAGGATCTTTTTCTTTGATTTCCTTCCTTCCCCCCCCCCCCTCGGTTCCTGGGGGAATTCCATTCACCGCCCTTCCTCCCTCCCGTCATTTTCGAAGCGGCGATAAAAAGAAAAAGTAGTCGATACCCTCCTCCTCCTCCTCCTCCTCCTCGACTCGAGGGCGCCGCCGATGAGTCGATGCCTTTTCCACGGTGCGAACGTGTCAGCCGCTCGATAGCCAACCGATCGAGTTATGGTATCGCGCCACCGCCTCCTGTTGATCCCTCCATTTCCTCCCCGTCTTCGCCCTTTATTCTTAAGAAGTTTTTGCGTAACCCCACCGTAATTGAATTGCGAAGACTTAGGTATCGAGATTTTTAAGACTTCTTATAAGACCGTGTCCAAGTCCGTCCAAGCTAAATTTAACTTGGAACTTGCGGCCGAAACGCATGTATTTCCCGTTCAATTTTAATTTTAATTTTAACTTCGACAGGATGGGAAACCTTTCAGCCAGAGATTCGTGTAATACGTACGAGATTTACGTCGCGCATCGACGATTTTTTTTTTTTTTATTATTACAATATCGAAGATAAATCTTTAGTGCGGTAATAGTAGTAGTAAGTTTTTTTTCTCGATTTTATTATCCAACTCATATTGATATTCGGTAAAGGAATTTGTATATTTTTTGATCGTGGATCGAACGACTAACGCGAGTCTGGTTAAAATACCATGGATGGGAGAAATATATCGATGGAAGAATGATGGAACGAAAACCCGGTTGCGTTTATGGCGAAACATGCTTTTTATTCGAAAAAGCCGTTGCCGCAATTTTCCCCGCAGGTTTCCCACTTACGTGGTGAAGAATGGCCCTATCGACCGTATCGTTTGTAGTCGACACGCGTATCGACCACCGATTCGCGATACAAACCGAATTAAATGACGGACCGTACTCTTTTGTCGGCTCTCCGCTTTATTTCCCGCTTTACTTTCCCTCCTCCTTCCCTCTCTATCCGTCGTTATTTTTCCCCTCCTCCCTCTCTCCCTCCCCGTAGCAGTATCCTTTTAGATCGCGTGTTCACCTATCCGTTATTTTCCGCGAACGAGAAAAAACAGAGAAAGAAAGAAAAGAGAAACGCGCGTGTGGTATCGACTGTGCGTAAATCGACCGATCAGTCCAGGATCGGGGAGAAAGGACTCGCGAAAAGAACTTAACGATATCGTTTCATAAACCGTTTCGTGCGCGGCACGCTCGTTTTAAACGGACTTCGCCGTGGTGGGACCACCACCACCGCGCGTGTGTGTGTGCGCGCCTTGCCAAAGTTCAATATGTACGGTCTCTGAAAAAAAGGAAAAAAAAAAAAAATAAGAAAAAAAAGAGGAGAGAGACGAACCAAACGACGACGCGGTTTCATCGCGTGTCCTCTTTCCCTGCGTGGTTGGCAAAAAAGAAAAAAAATGAGAGAGAGAGAGAGAGAGAGAGAGAGAGAGACTCCGGAGAAAAATTTTCCCCCGCGAGTGTATCGCGAGCTAATGAGAGCATTCCCTTCCTCTTTCCCCCTTTTTTTTCCCTCCCTCCCTCCCT